TCATTTAACTTTATCTCATCTTTCACAAAAGTAACTTTGACAAAATTTGATTAAAATCCTACCTAAAATGAACCTTTATGTTTGAATGTAGGTTCAAAATGGTCCATTAAATATACTTTTTAGTAGTTTTGAAACTTTAAACTTGCCAGATGTGAGCACATTTGGTCTCCATCAAATACTTGAGTTAACTTTATAGAATGATGAAAGAAATATTTAATATGGACTCACATTTAGATGCATTTTCTTTGCACTCGCAACTCTTTTAGTTTATTGCAGGATTTGGTGTAACTTTTAGGTGTAATTTACGCTACTTTCAAAATAATTTTATAGACATCTCCCAAAGTTTCGCTTAATAACGTTGACCTTCCATATGACATATGATACCACACTTTACTTTGACTATTTTTATCTTTGTAACAATTCCTTTAACGTATTTATCACTAATGAAAAATTATATACTTAAATTTATTTTTTCATACTAATACTATTTCTTTTTAAAACATCCCTAGAAACAGACTTCTGCTACTTAGACTTATTAATTAAGTTATAGGATTTCGTATAGAATATCAAAACAAAAATGATTCCATTTCTACCAGTATTATGATAATACATATTCCATTAATTTTATAAACATGTTTTATTAGTTTTCGCTCTTTTGTTTATTCTATTCACTATTACTGCTCAATAAAAATGAAGAGTAAGTGTTTCCTCTCTTTATTGTCGTTGGAACAAAATTGAAGGTATCGATTGTATAAAACCTAGTAAAAATAAGGTTTAGTTAGAATCAATTTATTTATGAAATAATTGAAATATCAAAAATGAAACACTATGTATACATTTATTAAAATTTTCAGCATGCTACACTACTAAAAGTTGGTTAAAAAACGAGGGCCATTTCCGACGGACAGCGTCAGTTTTTTGGACAAAAACGACGAAAAACGACGGACAAAGGGTAGTCAAATATGTTGCGTCGGAAATAAAAGACCGACGAACGGAGTCGGTTAAAACTGAGGGACACCCAACTCAGTCCGTCGATTTTAAATAATAAAAAATTAATAAAAATTTAAAAAAATCGAGGGACAGGGGTAGGTTTGTCCGTCGGTTTTCACAAATATATATAT